GAGATGAAAGAGCGAGAGAGAATGTTTTGAAAAGTACCTTGCCGACGATGAAATTTAAAAGAATTCGGTATTACCAAACGATTCGAAGCATATCCCAGTAATTTTAGTTCGGTTTCCTTTGAATTACTTTCATGGTCGTATCATTTAAATGGATAACTGTCAATGTTTAAATACATTACGTGGAACAGAAACTACAATTTCTAAATGTTCACAAAAAGTTTAGCTTCAAAACGGGTTGGAGATACACTTTATATTTATCAGAATTTCGTTTATTGCATACACCAATGTGTTGTAGTAGTTTCGACTGTACATTAAATGAACCAATGCACTGTATTCTGGGCACGATGTTAAAATTCACTGCATCTTTTAGCTGCATCCGAGAACGTTGTGCATCGTTTGGGCCCAGTGTGCGCCGGGCAGCCTCGGGACTTCGGCGTCCAGAGTTCGAGTACCGCCGGGCAGTCGCCGGCGCGCGCTTCCGGGCGCCGATTGGTGCGATGCCTGGAGTGTTGTCCCTCGCGCCCGCCTTCGCCCTGCGGCGGCTGGCAGGCCTGCGAGCGAATCCACTTTCATACAACACGCGTTGCGAGAGATTTGCACACACATTTTGCTAACAGGATCATACTTTTTGTTATAAAAACCGTACATAGAATGGTTACGAGAAAAATAACTTAGGAAGAAAAGAGAATTCAAAGAGGAGCTGTTTGGAGCCTGAATTAGAAAGATAAACATTCATTACGTAATGTTCTGGAGATTTCACAAAGTTTTACAAAATAGCGTTCATTTGAAATTACATGCGTACGAGAAGCTTTTTCATACATTATCAATTAACACATCGAGGGTTATGACCACCAAAGTAGTTTGCAAAGTTTGCAAGGAATAGTTGAGTAGCATTAACCAGCAACTTTGTTGCTTAATCACGAAGTAATTTCGTTTGTAACAAAAAATACAAGTCATTTAAAACATGAGTATGGTAATTATACTTCATTAAAACAGTATATGCCTTCAGGAAAAGAGCTATAAAGGAATGTAAATACTTTATGTAGGAGAGATAATTACTTTTTAAAAATAAAAATATCCAAAATGACTGTACAGAATTCTAGTCGGCATCTTCCATACTTTCTCGTTTGAGCTTCAAATTTGGATGTATTATATAATCAAGAAACACTTTGTTTTTGAATTTCATATTTTAACTTAAAATCCACTAGTTCAAGTTACCCAGTCCGGATACTTTCGAATATATCACAATCTTCTACTTCACTGCAAAAGGGATTTTTAACATAACATAAAATAGGAAACGTAAAAGTGAAGAACATATATTTATAGCACCACTCATATTCAATGCCCCAATTTTCGGCAATTCTGCAACCGCGACGACGAGCTCGGGGAGGCAGTATTCAAAACAGCAGCAGTGCCGGTATACAGTGTATGGACAAACAGGAGCCACAGTGGGCGCTGAAAGAGTGAGGATAGTTTAGAGAATAAGTCAGGTGCCTCGTGAGTTACGTCGTTTAGGCCCTACGAGTAATGTCCTGATCTCTTCTTAGAATGATTGTGCCTGCACTATGTTTTGAGACATCTTCTAGTCTACAGTACCTTCTTTGTGGACTTCACAGTTTCTCCTGGAAAAAATATATTTTAGAGAAATAAATATGTACCTTAACGAAATATGCAAAATTTGATCCTAAATTTCCCAAATATGGACCAATTCGAAAAATTCATTCGACCAATATGCAGTAACATATTTATCTACATGTCATCCAATTCTAACCAAATGTCATGAAAGTTCACGTAGCCACGCCCCGAACCAACAGACACAAGTATGCAAATCCTTCGAAATTCATTCCGTAATAACAACAAACGACCTGCCAAGGTAATCGATCCGCGATCGGCGGAGCCGGTCTGAATTGCTGCAACTCCTTGGAGCGCCGGTCGCCGGCGTGGGTGGGCGCAGCTGTTCATTCCGCGAGCGGTGCTGAGCTTCGCGGTGCGGCGCGGCGCGGCGCGGCGGCGCGCGCTGATAAAGAGGCAGACATTTGTCCGTCCGCCGGCCGCCTATCTCGACAAGAGCTCCGTCAGGCGAATGCAAATGTTGCTCCGGGAAGAAGCGAGCACCGTATCAGCGCGCGCGCCGGACGTCATATTAATTGCGCTGCGGAGGAGCCGGATTCCGCGGCAGCGACGCCAGGCGGCGCGGATGGAATCACGGACGCGCAGAGCCGCGCACGCGGGGGGAGGAAGTCCCACATGCGGCAGCTGCGCTCACAGCGCTACATGCACGCGCCAGATACAGGAGGTCTCGGAATTGAGGGAGCTGCCAACCTTAAAATGTTTCATATTTTTTTACATTTTTATTGAGTGCTATGCGCAGTTTTATTCTTTTTTCAATGCTTGCAACCATTTATTCTACGTTTATTACTTTTGGGGTAAATATTTTTTACTTTCCCGGACATACGGAGTTACATACGCAATATAGGTTATGTAACGAAATGTTACGTAATGCTACGGAAAATTGATTTCAACGGAAATTCACGTTTTGAGGTCCCCTGATACCGAAAAACGTAAAAATGTCCGTCTGTCTGTCCGTCCGTGCTGGCGAGGCGGCGGTGCGGATGTAATCGCGGACGCGCACGGCAGGAAGTCGCCCAAGCGGCAGCTGCGCTCACGGCGCTACACACACGCGCCAGATAGAGGAGGTCTCGGAATTGAGGGAGCTGTCTCCCTCAAAATGTAAAAAAAAGCGTAACATTTCGAATTTTATTCCAATTTTTATTGAGCCGTATGCCCTATTATATTCTGATTGGTCGTTAGTGATTCTGGGCGCGTCCACTACTGAGGTCTAGTCCCGTAAGAGTAGTATATAGTTTTCCTCGGGATGTGTCAGAGGTCGTCTCCCGGTGGATGGCGAGATCCGACGCCGACCTACCGTCGGTTAGCGGGGTTTCCTCCACCTTCCTCCAGCGGGACAACGGCCCAGTCGGGACAATCTCTAAGACACCGACCGGTCTCCAAGCATGCGGTATGGTAGTGTAGTTCATGTTAGCGTGTGTGTAAGGGGTGAGGAGAGAACAAGGAACGATTGCACGTGATCCGTGGCCCGTTTGATAGAGTACTGCTCCGGTATTCGCCTAGTGTCGACCGGAGAAAGCACGGAAAACTACCGATCTGTGCAGCCGCCCGCTAGAGTTCTCCTCCACACACTGATTCTGATCAATCGTGGACTTCGCAACGGGTTAATACTGATTATGAACCCATCTTTATTCGGGTGTCATATTGAATGTCATTTTGTTGCGTTTTGTTGTCAAGTTCTCTTCTTAGTTAGTAGTTCAAAAAAACGGCGAATGTCTCTAAGTGGAAGATTTTTGTTGTTAATTACAATAATTATTATGTAATTGAAAGTAGTTGGAGTATTCATACAGAAATTTTTTATTCATGTAACAAAATAATGTACAAAAAACCTTCTAAAATGTGTACTTCCATCCCCTAAAATGTAATTTAATTTTCATTTGAACGCATTCTCAAATGTATTTTGATTATACATAGTATATCTTTGGCAGACTAGATACGTGTTATTATACTTTTGTATACCACAAAACTTAACAAAACGTAATTTTTTTAATGTTTAAGTCAGTATAAATTCAATACTTGCGTCTGAGAGTGAGTGGGTACACAACTATAGCAAGCGTGTTTCAACACCAGAATTTGTAACCAGAGGTCCCATACATTTCATCACTACGTCGACTCACAAATTATAGGGTAACTTATGTGACGTGACGATATTCACAACAGTAACAGGGTATTAAGTGTTGTTGTTCATCATTCGTTTCAACTCTCCGACCCCAGCAGTCAATTATTTGCCAACCGTAATTAAGAAATAATGCTCTAATTTTCTAAAGATTTGCTCAAATATTTTGGCATACTTTGTAATTTAATACTATATCGCATCCCTAATCACACTTTATTGAGAGATTTCTATATTTTCTATTTTATGAACGTGTATGTTATATATTTTTTCATTTACATAATAAAGAAGTACATGCAACTACGAACTCAGACAATGTATCTTACTTAGAGCAGTATTATGTATACAGAATTTTTAATTAACATTTGAGAGCCTTTGGGGAATCATGAATAAGCTTCTAATAAATCAGTCAGTATTGCATAGGTATGAATCGTTTAGCAATTATTTTATCATGAATATTGTTCATGTCAAATTGTATAAATCAAAAACTTCAATATCTCAAGAATTTCCAAATTTTGCTTCATTAATCTGCTTGAAGTACAATAAACTCTACTCAGTTTTCGTAAATTCTAAAACAATTATGCATAAAAACTATAATTTTAGTATAATAGTTTATAAATATTAAAATAATTTTAAGGGCAAACGCACCACCAGGGCTATTTGTAGAATTATCCCTTTTAATTGAAAATAAAAATCATTTAGACCTATATTATCAGCTTTTCAGTTTAATGATGCTTCATTTTTTATTTCTTCAATCAAAAAAAATATTTGTAATATACGTTGTAGTTCAAATTAAGAACATGAATCATGCTTAACAGGAAACGTCAAGTGGTTGAAGGTGTTGAAAGATTTTAGGAAGGTGTTTGCCTTGTAATTGTCAAATTTGCATCCTGTCAGCATTTCGCGCATTAAACGTGTAAGCAATTTGCAGTAAGACCCTTATTGACTGAATATACTGGTCACATATTTACAAACCAGCAATTACAAAAACTTAGCAATTGACGATACCCCTGTTACAAATATTGCCAACTTCTGAGTTACAATAAAATATTGCTACTTTTCATTGCACAATTGTTGCCAAGATATCCACCTACGATTTTTTAATTACAATCTTTATTCTTGGTGTTTAACTCTGTGATCTTTACAAAGGATTTACATTTACAATAATTTGTTCACACTTTTTATTACATCTTGTTTACAAAGAAAAAAGTTTAATTCTATAACTTGTTTTGACGGCTGAATTTCCTCTTTTGCGCAGGTGACTGGCATCGTCGGTCGAGCGGATGTGCTGGCCTGCGTCTTCTTCCTGTTGTCTTTCCTCGCTTATCACGGGTGAGTAGCGCGCTGCTCTCTGCTGATTACACTTCGGGACGTGAAAGCGCGAGTCAACACAGCTGAACACGCTCTGCCGTGTGAGTGCCCTGCAAAGCGCTTTCGGGCACTTTAAATGTCTGCAGCGGTGCACGCAGCGGAATCAGTACATTCATCTCCTTGCCCGACATTTGAGATGGCATTCTGTTTAGCATTAATCCAGTTCTCATCTCCTGAACGCAGATATATTTTCCATCTCATTCGTATTACAATGCAGAAAAAACTGAACGAAACTTCAAAATGCTGTGTGATATCTGTGACTTTTGTTGTTTAGCTCGTAAATTGTTTGCGTCTTCTCTTGTTACATTTTTCACAATTCAATTCAAAACGCGCCTTATTTTGTACAAGTAAGTTTCATTCTCTTTTCATCCTCCCTTCTGAATATATCGTCCATGAATCATGATACCCCATTCGCAATTATCATTTGCGCCAATGTACTCTCACCAAAAGTGCAGCACGAGCTCGCTAGAACTATGTACACTGCTTCCACAAGTATTAGTGACGAAACTGCCTTGCCTGTTTAAGCAGACTTTTCATCCACTTCGAGATCACTACGGAAACACATGTTTTTAACAGTATCAGAAAATTTATCGACACATTTTCATTTAGTCGAATTTTAACAGATATGTATGGATACACATTGGCATACCATACATCTATATATAGGGTATGCCAATGTTGTAATACAAATTGATTTTTATATACCATATATATATATATATATATATATATATATATAATGTGGTACACAAAAATCATTAGTAATCCGGTTAAGAAAATAAACGTTTAGTATATTTCAGTAAAACTTTTCAAATTAATACTTGTAAAAATTGCAGTGCTTCTAATTCTTTTTCGTAGCCCTTCTATTCGTTAATTATTAAATGGAAATAAGCGTAGGGCTTGAATTTTTGAAAATTCAGAGGCCTCAACGAATATTGTTTCGTTGTTTGAATGTCATTCTTACAACCGACCCTTGTTCTATCCATGAGGGAGAAATAAAGAAAAAAGTGTGCAGCAATGTTTACAGTACAGAGAGTTGGTCAGATGAGGTGAATTGCTTTTCCGATATCAAGGACCCACAGAACATGGATTCAGGCTACACAAATGTTTGTGACTACACAAAAGATTTGTTACAAACCTGTACAAGGCGATGAATTTACAAGTGTGGCATACGTACAATGATAATTTTAATAACTACAATACAATAATAAAAATTATAATTATAATATACATTTCAGTAATTGGTCTCAGTTTTAAGTTCAGCAATAAAATGGGAACACATATCCTATTTCGCTATTGTCAAGTACAGTTGCGACCCCGTAGCTACGTAACAGTATCAATCTAATTATATAAATGATGTTTCGATTTGAATGTGCAAATACATTGAAACGTCAACCGAGGAACGAATTCAAAATATATGAGAATACTTGCGCCTTAGAGCAATTCTCCTTAACTCAATGGCTCCGCGAGCTGCTCCGGGAGCACTAGGCCTCAAATTCACTCGAAATTGCGTTGTTTCTTTTCTTGTTTTGCGATTCCGGGGCGCATCAAAAAATGTTAAGGTCATTAGTCCCGTAAGTGTAGTGCACGTTTTATCGTGGCGGTGATCCTCTCCTCTATATGCTAAGATCCGGCGCCGACCTAACGTCGGCCAGAGAGGTTTTTCAGAACTAGGTATCTCCCATCAGCAGGGTACCACCCTAGCCTGAACAAGCTCTAAGCTCCCGATCGGACTCACAAATGTGGTAGTAAAGTGCATTTAAGTGCAGGTGTGATTGGACATGGAAGATAAAGTAAAGATAGCGCGCGGTCCTTGGCACGTTTATTAGGGTACTGCTCCAGTATTCCCTTGGATTTCATCGGAGAAACCACGGATATCTGCCGATGAGAGCAGCCGGCCGCTAGGATTATCCTTCAGACAGCGCCTGAATTCGACTTGGAAACGTAGCTTGTGTCGAAAATCCTGCCACCGTCGGGAGTGAAAGCGTAGGACCTCCTGATCAGAGGCACTGCAGTGACATCAGTTGATGAACTGAGCCACCTCTCCCGGCCCGAGCTGCGTTGTGCGGAGGGGGTTGAAGGTATGGATGCCACTCAACGGAAGGGGAAATGGCTTCGAGAGCGGAGGGCGGGGAGGTTGAGCGCCTAACAGTCGTTGGTTTCACAGATACAGGAGCACGATACAGGAGCAACGCGAATTATCTTTGCGGACTTTGTATGGACAGTGCGTCGAAATACGCAAGGTGGCGTAAATACAATTCGAAAGAAACATAATATATTTAGTTATTTAATGACCATGGGCTAAATATTGTGTAATTAAGAAAATGACTATGGAATTACAAATCATTTGGTTTGCCCAATTCACAGCATCCACTCACTATGAACTTGTCATCTGCCTATTTCAATTTTGATAGTGCCTATAACGATCTCACTGTCCTCTTATTTCTCCACTACAAACAACCTTTCGCGATAACTTGTACCTCAGCTGAGAGCAGAGGTCTCTAACAAGAACGAACTCTTCTGAATCCAGTTACACAGTTCTGCTCTACAAAAACTGGGTGACTACCGTGAGATATGGGTTGAATACTCGGATGAAGTAGTCAATTCTTTGAGCAGTTAATATATCATTTATTATTATTATACTTTAATATGACTGTATTGAAAAACCTGAGCCCTATTGCTAGATGTAAAATGATTAAATGAATAGATGAATGGGAGATTATAAACATATGACAGGATGATGATTGAGCAGAGCAGGGGGGAAAAGGGAGCATCGAGAAAAAACTGCTGTAAATCTACTTTATCTACCATACATTTCATTTTAATCGACCATGATTGGAAGCTCCGACCCAGCGAAAGAATGCGAGAGGTGTGTCCGCCCCAACACGGGTCTCCGGTCGTTATCTTCGATCCCACTCAAAAACTTTTCTACCCACTGCCTTGACCTTCTTCGGAACCCCATCCTCCCACCC